AACGAGGAGTGACCGCCGTGTACCAGCCAGCCACTCTTGCCCTCCCTCCAGTCATCTGACTCACCCACATTCTCCTCCCACAATACTGTTTTTTCTATAATTCACTATATACAGACGTTATATATAAGTATCTACATGTTTTGTTCACCATAACTGTACATCTAAGCTTGTATGGTGAGTAAAGGCACAAAGACGTAGGACCTCACACAGTCAGCTGATGGCTGCCGCCCTCAAGGCCAGACCCACTAATATTTCTCCTCCAACAATACTGTGTGGTGTTATTACGCTATATATCTTATATACAGACATTATATATAAGTATTTACATGTTTTGTTCACCATAACTCTACATCTAAGCTTGTGTGGTGAGTAAAGGCACAAAGACGTAGGACCTCACACAGTCAGCTGATGGCTGCCGCCCTCAAGGCCAGACCCACTAATATTTCTCCTCCAACAATACTGTGTGGTGTTATTACGCTATATACACACATTATATATGAATATCTACCTGTTTTATTCACCATACTTGTACAAGTAAACTGGTATGGTGCCCAAAGACCATCGTGGTAACCAGTAAACAACACCGTCATCTGCATGGTGGCGTCGTGCAGACGACGCCACCGCCCTCACCAAAATGGCGGCTCCAAACCTTCTCTTGCTGTTTATACCCTCTATACACACGTTATATATAAGTATCTACATTTGTGTTCACCATAGCGAACCACTAAGCTGGTATGCTGAGTGCAGTCAATAAAAGGTGGCCACACACAGTCAGAAGACATCGCCATCACCCTCCCTCCCACAGCATTACTCCTCCCTCCATGGCGCACAGCGCTAAATATCACCACAATCCTGCTATTATCAGAACCCTGGTCAGTTTTATCACAGTCAAGGGTCTTCTGTAATAATATCATCGCTACATAATAGCATGAACAAGTATATTTTGGCATTTTTAGGTGATGCTGTGGTCACAAGCTGAACAGCAGTGCTGTTACCTCATGCTGCATGCATCAGGCTTGGTAGCTCACTCAATACTGAGGCCAATAACACCCGGGAGTTTGGCCCACGATTTTTTTTTTAAAATGGCGTCTGTTTACAAGAGCCCTGATGAAGGTGTGGTGAACCCCGTGTATCCGCGGGCCGTTTAAATCTTGCGTAGTACTCCAACACATCATATGACGTGATGTGCACTTGACTGGAACAACGACAAACATGTCATATGACGTGATGCGCACTTTAAGGGTTAATGTTCCTGGCCCTAGTCGGGCGTGTGTTGCATTGGGTCAGTGGTTGCAGTTAATTGTCTCAACTTCGAGTTGAGAAGTGAGTGGCGACTGCCTCCCGGGTAAGTCCCTCTTGTTTTATCTTTGGTTAAGGAGCTCCGGGAAACCGAAGGGGCTTCCCCTAGAAAACCAGCCTTGAATGTAATGAAATGCCATTTTCTGAGTGAGACCTGGAAGCTCCATGGCAACCTTCCCTCCCTCCAGTGGGGCATTTTTTCGCATGTTCTGACATCCTGCCTCAGAACTGGGGTGTGGATAGCCGGAGCAGGGGTTCTGCGGCTCCCTTTCCCCCTACTTGGGTGGGGGTACCTGCACAGACAGCGGCGTGTGGACGTCATGCTCATTTGCTCGTTTTCATTTGGGGAGTTCTGTCCAACAGTTTGGCTTTCAAGCAATCTTCACTCTTTTAAGAGGGCGTTATCATTGTTTGGCCGAAAAAATTCGGCCAAACACGAAAAATTTATAAAAATACTACAACGTTCTGGCAACACCGTGGTGCAAACCGTTTAATGTTATGATAATAAATAACGTAATTACAGCAAATTTTCCAGCCGCAATTGCCCGAAATCTGGTCCTCGCGGCTCGGGTGCGCCGTAGGGTGATGCGTCATACGTTGTAAGCGTCTAGTATTTCGCAATAGAGTGGAGAATATCTTGTTATGCATATACAAATTATAAACACACTCGCTGGCAACTGTCTTCTGTGAGAGGGAGGGGCTATAATCCGATTTACTGGCTTAGTCACCCTCTCAGTGTCTGTGCCGGCGGTCGCATGCCTGACGCGCTCGCACAGATCGTATTTTCTTGCATATACTGCACAATGGATATAGTATCGGACAAGAAGAAAGCTCTAAAGGCAAGAGCTCTACGCGTTAGCCAAGTAAAGAAGGAGCGTAAAGCCACACTGAGGCAAAACAAGAGTTCCCTTGAGTGAAGAGAGAGGGCAGCCTCCCGCCCCCACAACACACTACCTCGCCTCACACCCAGGCACCCACACCTCCTGTGGCACCTGCCACACCTCTGTGGCACCTGCCACACCTCCTGCTGCACATGCCACACCACCTGCGGCACCTGCCACACCACCTGCGGCACCTGCCACTCAAGATCTTAGACCTGCAACTCAAGACGTTCTCCCTCTTGATGTTGCAAGATGTTCCATATTTCAGACCAATTATATTAGGTTAGTATGTATTATGTTTTATATCTTGATACTATATCATAAATAATTGTAAATATAAAGCTGCTGTCTTTTTTTTAATTTTTTTTATTTTTTTTTTTTAATTTTTTTTTTTTAATAATTTTTTTTTTTTTTTTTTTATCAGGCAATCTTCATGGAACTTACACACCTTACTGAAGGAATGCCAATCTACAAGGGTGGTAATTTTGATTGAAATTGGTAGTTCATCAACCTCAGCCAAAGGTGGCTGAACTTTGACCTTCATTTTTTACAGGTAACTAATTTGCAACTATATGGTTGAATAACTTTTTTATTTATTATTCAATTTACATGGAACTTGCACATTATATGTAGAGTCTGTGCCTCTAAAAACTCAAGTTATATATTTCCCCTAAGATCATTTATTGATTTTATATATATTTATAAACATCATTTTGTTGCATAATTTTTTGGGTGAACTTTGAAAATTTGTATTATTGCACTAAATAGGTTTGGGATAATAATGCCACTAGACAACCTTTATTATATAGTATTGTGATAGCTGAGTATCATAGAAATAATATCAGTTGATATTTGTATTTGTTATATCAACTTTAAAACATGTAAAAAAATGGTTAAAAAAAGTTTTTTTTTTTTTTCTCCCTCTCTATTTAGGCTGCGATGCTGAAACTTGGACCACTTGCAGCCCTCTTCACGTGTAACACGTCAATAAATTTTCATTGCACTAGAACAACTTTTATGAACCCTAACTATCGCCCCCTTAACCAGAATAGGGGTTTGTTTTGGAGCACTTAAATTTCTGGCTTCCTGACCCAGTCGGGAACCCAGAAAGTTATCCTATACAAACTGGGGTTTGTATAGGCCATGGCTCCTCGAGCCTCTCTAAGGGGGCCAGGTTCTGGCTCATGGTCCCAGGTAGGCCTAGAACTCCATTCGCTGGTCTGATGCCAAGGTCAAATACATTCATATCAGTCCAGATAGCTCTGGGAGCCTCCGGGTCTCACCCAGAAAATGGCGTTTCATTACATTCAACGCTGGGTTTTTTCCTTCTTTGCTTGTGGTATTGTCATCCTTGCTAATACCTCTCATTAAATTTGCTTCGTTTGTGAATCTTATGAAATTTGAGACATCTTAGTCATCTCTCAGCTTGCCACTCTCATTTATTTCACAATCAAAGACAGTTGGCTCATTCAATTGCTGCAAAGTTTATCATAAATTTTTTTTACTCCATTTAAAATTCTCAGAATTTGTGTAGTCACTTTTGTTTGTAAATCATTCAAGTAAATTGGGCTTCCATTCATAACCTTCAGACCTGTACTGCATATATATGTAAAAAATCCACTGGAGAGATCAGAAACTGCTGAGCAGAAGATTTACATTTGTGTGTTTGCACATGTACCTGATTTACCTGTGGGGCCACTAACCATAGTGGCCTCGATGAGGACAAGAAGCCGGTGGCTTATCGGAGGTCCCCCCCATTTGCTTTGATGATTTTTTCCAGGGATATTTTAAAACTCAACACAGTTTTAGCAGTTATGGCAGGTAGGCAGTTCCATAGGTTAATAACCCTGTGGGTGAAAAAGCATCTCCTGTTCTTAGTCCTACATTGTAGCTTGTTGAACTTCAAACTGTTGCTCCCTATTTGTGTTACATCTGACCTTCTGAAGAAAATATCCGGATCAACATCCTCTAATTTTACCAGTATTTTAAAAGTTTCAACGAGAGTTGCCCTGTCATGCCTGGTTTGCAGTGTTGTTAGCCCTGTGGCCTTCAAGCATTCCTCATATGAGAGGTGACTTGGCTCTAGAGTGACTTTTGTTGCCCGTTGTTGCACCTCCAAAACAGCTATGTTCTTCTGAAAATGAAATCCATGCTTGGATTCAGTAATCCAAACGGTGGCACACCAGAGATTTATACAGTTTAACCTTCTTTTCCTTATAGTCAAAAGTATGCTTGATTATCCTTAGAGTTTGGTTAGCTTTTCTGACTGCTGCACCCACCTGTTGTGCAACTTTCAGTGTGTGGTGGATTTTGATTCCAAGGTCCTTTTCTTCATCAATCTGCTGTAGTGTAATGATATTAATTTGGTAGTCATGGCATGGGTTGTTATGCCCTATATGCAGGGTCTTGCATTTGGCGACAGTAAAAAGCACTTGCCAATCTTCTGACCATTTGCAGAGTTCATGTAGATCTCTTTGTAAGGCTTCAGTATCATTATCATTTATTTATTACCTTAAATCTCTGTGTCGTCTGCAAATTTGATGACGGCATTTGTAATATTCTCATCTATGTCATTGATGTATGTGACAAAAAGGGTGGGTTACAAAATGGCACCCCAATGGTACACAATATAGATAAGTAGCACCCGACTTATCACATTTCTCCATTCAGTTTCATTTCCATTTAGCATGACACTTTGTTTTCTTTCCTTCAATCATTGTTATATCTATTCTAATATTTTACCATATACAGTATATGTACATGTAAACATTTAATATTACAATTTTTTTTTTAAATACATATGTTTTTCTGTTTTGTCAGCCTAAGTCCATATGGCTTAGACTCCTCCCCCGTATGTGGCGAAGTATCTGGAGGAGATAGTGTGCCTGTGGGTGCTGTGCCTCTGTTAGCAACCACTGTTCAAGAGTATGATGAAGCCGTCACCCGAACTATTAATGCTACCAATGCAGCTTACCATGAGTTCCTAAGATCAGAAGAAGGTCAAAATTTTAATGGCCAGGTTTGCATTATTGGTAAGTTTTAATACCATTTACTGCTACAGTACTTGTCTTTATTCTTGTGAAAGTTAATTAATAATATTCTGCGCTAATTGTTTTAAGCATTCTTATTATATTAATATTTTAACCACTTGACTATTCTGGCCGAGAAAACTCGTTCACCCAAAACTGCACAGGACGAGAAAAACGGCAATTTAAGATTTCGTACCCATTCAAAATGCGAGCACGGTTGGTTGGGTACAAAACGGACTCCTGGGACCTCCAGTAAGAGGCAGCCATCTTGGAAAAAATTCCCAGAATGCCCTAGGGCTGGCTGGATAATTTCAGAGTGAGCAACCATGGATGGCGCATGCGCATCTGGCTCCCAATCCCTTTCCGACACAGAGTTGAATGATCACTCTCTCTGTCGATGAAATTCAAACCTTTTTGTTTGAAGAATACAAGGGTCATGATATTAATGATGCTAGGCACAATTAGGACCTAACACAAGGGTCGGATACAAGTGATACAACACTGATGAGGACGATACAGCGAGTGTATCCAGTAGTAGCTGAGTGCCCAACCCGTTCTCGCAAATTTAATAAGTCAATATTGACTTATTAGTTGCGTGCATAGGTGACATACTAAACATAATAGTTTCCCTTGAAAAGCTTCATAGAAAACACCGACCATACCTAACCTACTTAGTATGTTAAAATAAGCATCTTATAGCTTCGTAATTACAATTGTTACTTAACCTATTATAGGTATAGGTTAGGTAATAATTGTAATTACAAAGCAATAAGATGCTTATTTTAACATACTAAATAGGTTAGGTAAGGTCGGTGTTTTCTATGGAGCTTTTCAAGGGAAACTATTATGTTAAGTATGTCACCTATGCACATATTTAATAAGTCAATATTGACTTATTGAATTTGCGAGAACGGGTTGCAGCGCCACCCATTCCTACCCATGTCATCTCCAATTTTTATAGATGATACTACGGATGAATCGTTTTCTGGGTTCAGTGATGATGCATCCGATAAAAGTAGCATAGATGAACAGTGTGTTAGCAGCTTCCATGATGGTGTTTATTGCCAGTGGCGGTGGTGGTGGGAATACATAGAGCACGGGTGAATTCGTGAGGACTATGATAATTTTGTAACACAAACCACAATTTGATGATTCTGATTGTGTTGCACCCACTTCTTTTCTGGTGAAAAATGAGTCGATTGATTTCCAAAAGGGTCTATTAGTCGTTGGTGTGTGGTTGATTCGGCTCAAGATGCTTAATGTGTTATGTCCGATTGCAGCTGTTTACCGGTACCTTTGTGCCATCAGTTCTGCCCTGGTGGATTCCTTGATTATTGATTCTGTCACCTTTTCTGTGGGGCAGCCCCGGAGGCTCCCTGTAGCTATTGGACTGATATTAGCTAATATTAGTACTGGGCTTCAGTCTTATGGAGTTGTTCAGGCCTACCAGGGGACCACTAGCCAGAACATGGTCCACTCTAGAGAGGTGAAGGGACCATTGGCCTGTGAAACTCTAATGTATAAAAGTATTCATGTCTGACATTAACCAGGGTTGAGCACCCAGAAAGGTAGGTGCTTCAAAACAGAAATAAATGCCTAAGACCAAACAGAGGCAAGAAACTCCCCTAAAGAAAAACAAGCTAACAAGCAACACATCATCTCACCGCATGCCGTTCGCTTGCGGTGTGATGATGCAAGCAAACGGCATGCGGCTCCCTCCTTCCCCTCCCCCTGGGAGGTGGGGGGAGGGGGTCCCAGCCCACCGATCCGGCAGCCAGACCATCAGTTTGTCAGCTGAAGCTATACTGGGTGGATGCCTCCTCTGGCCTCTGTTATCTGATTGGCCTCACCCTGCTGGTGTTCCTTTTGTGTATTGGCGGTGGCCAGGAGTTTGTACCAAGGGTTACATGCGCTTAGGGCTCCTTCCTCTAGGTGCCCTGTGAGTACACCCCTTGGGGTTCAGAGTTTCCTTTTCTGGGTCCTTAGGGTCCCCATTCCCATAGGTGTAGTGACTGCTTGGTTGTTGCCTCACCCTTGGGGTCAGCTTAGGTCCAGGTGCTTTCACATGGCCCTGGGGTAGGGAGTGGTTGTTTGCTTGTTGGGGCATGCTGGGCTGCCCAGCTTGCATAATCGCAGCAGCTGTGACTCTTTCTGGTCCCCTGGGTCGTGGTGCTTCCTCTGAGTTCTCTTTCATTCTTTAGTTTTCCTTTATTGCCCATTGGGAGGCCACCACAGTCCATATTAGGTGATACCTAGGTTCAGTAGGGCAGACCACCTCTGGACCTCTGGGGTTGTTCCCTTCCCGGGGCCAGTTTGCCTAGATATATATACATCGATACAACCGGCTTTGACAGTCCAGCGTCTGGGCTTCTCGTAGGGAAACAACCCCCTGTGGGCCCTAGTAAACCCCGTCGGGGCTTAGTTGACCGTGATGGATGAATCTTCCGAGTCTCATCTCGCCTGGTGCGAGTTTAAGGGTTGCTCGTTGCCCCTGTTTCAGGGGTGACGATCACCTGTAATTACCTTGTAACGGTTCTATTGTTACGTAAAGTATGGTGACAATAAACACAGACACTAAGATACTATATATATATTTGGTCGAATATACAGAAGTACACAGGTGATACTTTGGTGTGAGTTGAGCGCACTGAGAGTCGGTACAGTATCTCGCAAGTGTCTGCTCTAGACCACACTTGAAAGTAGACTAGTTAATGTTTGCTATTCTGCTGCTTATATGCTCGGGCAACACCTCACCGTGTGGCCCGGGCAACGCCTCACCTCATTCATCTCCAAAGGTTGACAGGAATATTAACAATGCATTTGGAGCGAGTATATTATTGGGATAATCTACTCGCTACAACCTAATTGTAATTACCCAAGTGTAGTTACAGGATGAGAGCTACGCTCGTGGTGTCCCGTCTTCCCAGCACTCTGTCATATAACGCTTTGAAATTGCTGATGGTTTTGGCCTCCACCACCCTCTCACCTAACTTGTTCCAACCATCTACCATTCTGTTTACAAAAGTGAATTTTCTTATATTTCTCCGGCAGCTTTGTTTCGTTAGTTTAAATCTATGACCTCTAGTTTTTGAAGTTCCAGGTCTTAGGAATTCTTCCCTATCAATTTTATCGATTTCTGTTACTATTTTGTACGTAGTGATCATATCGCCTCTTTTTCTTCTATCTTCTAGTTTTTGCATATTTAACGCCTCTAACCTCTCCTCGTAGCTCTTGCCCTTCAGTTCTGGGAGCCACTTAGTGGCATGTCGTTGCACCTTTTCCAGTTTGTTGATGTGCTTCTTAAGATATGGGCACCATACAACTGCTGCATATTCCAGCTTTGGTCTAACAAAAGTCGTGAACAATTTCTTTAGTATTTCTCCATTCATGTATTTATAAGCAATTCTGAAGTTAGAAAGTATAGCATAGGCTCCTCGCACAATGTTCTTAATGTGGTCCTCAGGTGATAGTTTTTTTTTATCTAGAACCACCCCTAGATCTCTTTCTTTATCAGAATTCAATAAAGATTTCTCACATAATTTATTGGTTGTGTGGGGTCTATGTTCTCCTATTCCACATTCCATAACATGACATTTATTCACATTAGATTAGACCTGTAATGCCTTCGTCATGCTCCTTATTATGTCTATGACACCATTTACTCGGAGTCTTGTGAGACTTATTCTCTACTCCTATTCCAATTTACCCACACTGCTACAGCTGAGGTTAGGGGTCACGTGGCTTGTGCGTTGCATGCTAGGTTCAGGTTGCTACAACGCGCACAGTTGGTTGCCTGCCCATTTTGGTTATAAGGACCCTGGCTTGAGGGTGTTGGTCACTTTGACCTTGGTTCTGTCCGTGCCCCTTCATCCTTCCCTTATTGGTGTGGTTCACCGGTCTCTCCCCCCCCCCCCCCCCTGAGAGCTGGAAGTCGTTGGCGCCAAAAAAAGTTTGGGAGCCGGAAGCAGGAGGGGGGGTCCTGCTTCCGGCTCCCAAACTTATGAGGGTTTTGGGGTTGGGGCAGTGTTTAACAGGGGATATGGCTTGGGGGGTTGTCCCATTCGAAGTGGAGACAAAGGCATTTGAGCTGGTTCCTCCCGTTGAAGCTCTTGGATCCTTCCAGCAAGTCCCTTTGTTAGATGCTTTTCCCTTAGACTCTGCCTTTTCTACAAGAGTGGAAGGTGTTGTGGATGGGTCTACCCCAGATCCTAGTTTGGTGGATTCCTGGGCTGGGGAAGAGCTGGCCTAGGACACTTGGGCCCCTTGCAACCCTATCTGGGTTTTGGTGCCTTCTAAGCAGGGTTTGCTGTTGCAAGGTTCGGGGTTTACGTAACCCCCCCTTTCCTTGTACGAATTTGATATGGGGTCGGGTATTCCCTGGGAATTTTCAGGTTCCCTTGGGTTCCGCGGCTGCGTCCTTCCAGAGGTTTTTGATTTCTCTAATTTCTCCTACGAATGGTCAGGAGACCCTAGGTGTGTATTTCCTGCGAGACCCAGCTTTTGCCTCGGTGCTCGACCCAGTCTCTCTTGAGATCGGGTCTTCTTCGACGTATTGGATACGTTACGAGATGCTGGCATCTTCCTGACTTGCAGACTGCCCATTCTTTTCATTGGGGGCTTGGCATACATTCTGTCATTCCCGCACGCTTGAGTGGCAAGAGCTCACTACGATGTTGCAAGTGTACTTGAGGGGCACATTTGAGCATCTTAATGCATGCTTGTATGCCCCTGTGCTTTATCATGAAGTTGATGTGCTCCAGTTGCACGTCCAGGTCCCATCTCTTTTGGCTGCTTTGGCTGCGGAAGATCTTCGCACTCACAGGCATTTGGCTGCGAAAGATCTTCGCACTTGCAGGCATTTGGCTTCGGTCCTTCACTTATTTTCCCTTCACGAGCTGCTCTTGAATTGGCTTGTGGAGGATGTAGAGGAATTGGCAGCTGGGTTGTCGTCTGCCGCATTGCTTAACTCTTTCGTGTGGGAATGACGCAGTATGGCGTCAAAA